TGTCAATCACTGTGGACCCTGTGCTGATCAGTTCCCTATTGAAGCTGTACAAAACAAACAAGTCTTTTCTGCTTACTTACAAGAAACTCCCCCATCTTAGGCCCTCTTTTTTTTTTTTTTTTTCTGGTGGTACTGGGGTTTGAATTCAGGGCCTCACACTTGGTAGGCAGGCACTGCACCATTTGAGCCATTCCACCAGCTCTGGTTTTTTTGTGTTGTGATTTTTTGAAATAGGGCTTCACTGTTTTCCCAGGTTAGCTTCAAAGTGCAATCCCCCGATCTCTGCCTCCTGAGTGGCTAGGATTACAGGCGTGAGCCACTGACACCCAGCTGTAGGCCCTTTATTTAACTCTGTAGAACTTATAGATAAAGTTCCAATCTGCGTCAAGACTGAATGCCCCTCCCAGACTCAGGTGGGAATCCTGTCTAATAATCTTTGCACTGGGACTGTAAGTGTTGATGACAAGCATCGGAATTTCTTCACCCGGATGGAGACCTAAGGTCCTCCAACCAGGTCAGAGTCTCCTCTACTCCTGCAGGATGCATGTCAAGCTACTAGTATCTCCCAAATAACAAGGACACATGCATACAGGTGTCTACCTCAGGGGACTCTTTCCCCTTTCCTTCTCCCCTCTGGGTAGGTCAAAAGAGGGCCATGCTTTTCTGGGAAAATAGAACCACTTCCCCCATTCACACTCAAACTCCATGCTTAGCCCCCTTGGCTGCTGTCACATTGACAGCTGAATACTACAGCTTGGGAAGTTCTAAAGGCTATTGGTCTCTCTGTGGTTCAGAACTCACTTCCTTCCATATACATTCCTGCACACAACTGGAAAGGAGTATACTTTCTATGTCAACAACAAGCACTCTGCCTTCAGGCTGGACAGGAACATCCACTCTGACAGATCTATCCCGTGCCATTTCCAAAGCCCCAGGAGAAACTCAGATGCCCTTCCTGTATACGAACATTCACCACCTCTTAAGAATAAAAGGGCATTCAACTCCTACACACCTGATAAATTTAGGGATTGCATCAGGAGTGCAGGGCTGGAGCTGGTTTACAAAACTCAGTCACTTGACATAGACAATGTGTTAGATACCTACCCCAACCCACGTCGATGTACAAAAGCAAATTGACTCTGACAAAACAGGAAGGCCTTAGATATGCTTAGTGCTGCCCAACGGGGAGCCTATCCTATGCTTGGGGAAGACTGTTCCTTTGGATTAATAGATCAGGACAAGTTCAAAGTAACCTTCATAAACTAACCCACCAAACCTCTCAACTTAGAGAAGGAGCAAGCCAAGGATGGATTGCACGGGGAAATACCTGGTCATGGTTATTTCATGATTATCCCATGGTTTCTACCCTTAATTGGTACCTCTAGTATCTATGTTATTCCTTCTTGCCATTGGTCCTTCTCTTACTAACTGTTGTAACCAGATTTGTTTCTTCTTGCCTCCAGACCATAAAGATATATATCCTACAACATGGGTTCCATCTCCTAACTCCTGACCCTCTGGTGCCTTTTAGCCCCCTGCACCAGGCTTTCATATAAGTTTATGTTGGTAGTCAATTAGATCCTGCCACATCCCCACGGGCTGTACCACCACCCTCTGCCAGAACAACAAATAGAAAGGCAGGGACACATCTACCACTCTTCCCAGCTCAAAGAGCTACAGAAAGATAAGAAATTCTCCCCACTAAAATCAGGATTGGTTTTGTTGTTCTGTCAGGAGGGATATGAAGGCCCCGCCCCATTTTAAGGAAACATGGCAGAGAAAGAAATATTAAGGAACAGATGGAATGTGGGGTGGATCAGGCCCACTGTGAATCCCAGATGGAACATAGAAGCTTACAGAGATGTTCTCCTTGCATTATATTCAAACCATGTGCCCAGGAAGGAACAACCAGTCAGTAAAGCCCACAAAAAGGGACACAGTCAATCAAAAGTGGCCTAACCGGAGATATGAAACCTATTCTCATCCCTGTACCTGCAAGCTATGCTCCTTTGTGTAGCTGCCACCATCATCTCCCTTTTTAATGGCGACCTAAGAAATCTTTGTTTTCTCTTGCTCTCTGTCTTGGTAAATTCTTTTACCAACCCAAAGTTCCCAAATACTGGCAGTAAGGAGTCAGTGCTTTTCAGTAAAAGCAGTATAAGCACCTCTTACACAAGTATGCTTTAAGATAAAACTAAGGACGATTTGGTAAACACATAAACCAGGAACACAGTAACTTGTCATTGTCATATATTATGTATTATACATAATTGAACCTGCTACACTTTTAAGTGAATAGCAGAATAGTCTGTTTATAGCAGCATCAAGGGAGTAATGCATTTGCTCTATTCCCTTAGGATGACTGCCACATACATCACTGGGCAATAGGAAATTTTTGGCTTAATTACAATGTATAGTTCTATTATGGTGGAAGTGGTCTGTGTTGGCAGACACATTGCTGCGAGGCCTATGACCAAACATTCATAACTTGCAACCATCACCACCATCCAGGTCCACAACTCTTTTTAAAAACTTTTTTTTCTCTAAGTAGTCAGGGCCAAATTCGGGCCTCATTCATACTATGTGAAAGCCCTACCACTGATCTATGCCTGCAGCCAAATAAAACTGAAACTTTATACCCATCAAACAGTAAATCCCCATTCTCCTCTCTCTAGAACTCTGGCACCACCCTTCCTTTTTTTTAAAATCGGGAGTGGGGATGGAACCCGGGGCTTTGTGCCTGCTGAGCTAGCCCTCTACCACTGTACTACATATTCAGTTACAACCACTCCTTCTGCCTTTAGGATTTTTGCTATCATAGGTACCTTATATAAAAGTAGACTCCCCTCCACAGTCACAGATTGGTGGCAGGGAAAGTGCAGCAAGTGTTGTCACCCATGACTCAAAAGAGTGTCCCCTTCCAATGGTAGACCCGCCCCCAGCTTGGTGCACAGAGAGCATGTGCACATGCACTGCTCAGAGGGACCACACAGTTCCAGCTGCCATCTTGGATGAGGGGATCCTGAAAGCCAGACCCCCCCCCATACATACCTTGTATAGCTCTAGCTGCTCTCCTCCACTGCCACTGGTCCTGTGTTGTCCACTCAGACATGAAGAGAACCAGCACCTAGACTGACAGGTGGAAAATGGATGCAGATCCAGACTATGTTGATGCCAGGAAGCAAAATGGAGGCTTCAGAGGAAGGTGCTTGGGTCCCAACCTCTGCACACAGCTCACAGACATGGAAATATGGAAGATCGGGAGCAGCATTTTAGGGAACAGCACAGAGAGTTTCTGTTTTAGGTGCCAATTTCAAACCCCAAGGCCACTTGAAAAAGTATGTGCCTGGTCTGTTCCCAGGCTTTCCTCACATTTTCGTTCCTCATGTTTGGTGAGACTTTCCTACTGGAGCCATCTGTGTCTCTTCGGACATGCCAGCACTCCCTTGTGTGCATTTTCTCCTTTGCACTTATAAGCACCTTTCTTGCTAAATGACCTGTTATTGTCACCAACTGGAATGCAAGCTACCTGAATGAGAGCTCTGAGTTTTGCTCACTGCTGAAGATCCTGGAACAATGTGATCTCACAGAGGGCACTGAGTCAGGCTGATGCTGAGGGCCTCGGAGAGTCTTGAGGCCAATGACAATGTTTCCATTTTGGTTTCTCTATATATTTATATATATGTATAAATTAACCCATTGTCTTATAGGCTAGGGATGTCTCAAATGGTAGAACTTCTGCTGGTCAATTCCTTCAGTCTTCTAAGCAGAATTGACTGTGACAGTGGAAATGGTGTTGTGGGTTCTAGCACCACCAGCTACTGTTTTTCATTCAGGAACCACAGTGCCAGATTTTCACAGCCCATCTCTTCATGTTGGTTTTGCCACAGAAGGAGCAGGTGCACTTGGCATGCTGGCTGATTTCAATTTTCTCCACCATTTTCCGGAGGGAAGCACCATAGCAGGTCCAGTATTTACCAACAATCCTGACCTTTTTGGTGCATTTGGCCATGTCCCTACAACCTAGGCCTGAGCCAGAGAGCCATTTTGGTTTCCCTTAACAAATAATTACTACGTAATAACGAACTCAAATTAGCTTATAGTTATCCTTAATACCAACATAATCATAAAATATAAGAGTCCCAGAAAAAAACAGTCTCTGAGGTTTCCCCCATGGATTTGGAAGGGATTTCTCCTCTCCAGGCAGCTTCAGGTGATCTGGCAGCTCACCACCCCAGTCTGCAAAGGATGCGTTGGAAGGCCATTCAGTGGCAGATGATATTTGGCTGGAGTCCTGTGGGGAGAGGCCCATGGCAATTGGCCATTCCATGGAAAGATGGTTTCACTCCTCACTCCTGTGTAGGACAGAGGCCTTTGCTGGGCTTGCTGGGCACACAGCAGCTTGAAAGTTGCTGGATCCTTCCTGCAGCTGGTTGGGTCTACCTGGTCAAACCCCCAAACCACAGTGAAAGGATCCACAGAGCACAGGGTCCTCTGGCTCTCTGTTGTTACTGTGTTCTTCTCAGTCCTCCACAGCTTCCTTTGGAGTTATTGCATTGTGGAACTGAGGCTGTGAATTTTGGGCCCGCACGCAGCAACATAGCCTTAAAATACAGTTCACAGACCTCCTCCTCACCCTCTTCCCGCCTCGGATATTGTTGCTGGGAGAGGCTGTGGCTACATCATGGGGTTGCCCACTGGTAAAGGCGTGTTCAGTGGACATGCCTTCAGAGAACATGCCACTCTCCACCTCCCCAGGTGGTGGAACAGCCACGGGATCAGGCTGGGGGACAATGCCTGTGGTGGGGATCCTCCTCTTAGGCAGGCTGGCTCTTCTTCTGCCCCTGCGCACTGCCTTCATGCTATCAGTGGACAAGGTGAAGGTCTGAAGAAGGCCAGGTGCACTGGCTCTCCTCCTTAGCGGTGGAGCGAAGGTGGAAGGGTCTGTGGGGGATGGGCAAGGCGTAACCCCTGGATGCACAGAGGACTTAACTTGGTTGTTAAGTCTGCTGTCTCAGCATCGTGAGGTATGTGGCGATCACCTCATTGAATGTGCTGTTTAGTAGAGATTCCCGGATCTCATGTGGCCTATATCCCAGGTTAGACATGGCTGCCAGGATTGCAGGGTCTGGGTGTTTTGGCAGAGTCTCAGCAGCAGCAGGACTCGGTGATCCTTCATCACCTTGGAGCCATGGGTGCCCCATTATGTGCTCTAGTGAGGGCCTCTGGCTAGGACTGAAAGTAACTGAGTGATGATGTTTCGCCCCTCTGTGGAAAGGTAAGGTGGCAGGTCGTACCTTTTGTTCAGGACTTGCTGCCGCAACTGCACAAGGATACCCCCTTTAAATGGTAAGGTACCCGTGACCATGCAGTATAAGAGGACACCTAGGCTCCAGACGTCCTTCTTGGGGCCATCATATTTTTGGCCCAGAAATTCAGGTGCCTGATATCCTGAAGCACCACACCTCTCTGTCAGTTCCTGCCCAGTCAAGAACCTGGTGCCAAGGCCAAAGTCACTGACCCTAATGTCGCGTTGGGCATCCAGCAGGATGTTGTTGGCTTTCAGGTCTCTGTGTATGATGCCATTGTCATGGCAGTATTTGACTGCACACACGATCTGCTTGAACAAGCCGTGGGCCTCATCCTCGGGCAGGCGACCGGCCTGTCGGATATGCTGCAGGAGCTGCCTCCTACTGGCATGTTCCATGATGATATATACATTGTCCACTGTTTCGATCACTTGAAACAGCTTGATTATATTGGCATGGCACAGTTTTCAGTATAGACACTTCGGATGGGTAGCGGGAGTTTACTGCTCCTTTCTGCAGCACTTTTACCGCCACCCGGCGGTGGTAGGCCAGTTTCACCTGGCCGTAGCTGCCATGGCCTATGGTCCTCAGGATCCTATACTGGGCTGTGAGGATCTCCTCATCAGAGGAGCTGGCACTGAGAGGGCACCGGGCTGCCAGCCCCTCAATGATCCTTGCATTGCTACTACACTAAAGAACATTTTTTTAAAATAAAGAAAAATTTAAATAACCAAGACTAAAACAAAAAGTGCTACTTGAATAAAAAATGTTAAGTAAAAAGAAGCAGAGTAAAAAAGAAAATAGAAAATAAGAACAAGAATAAAAATAAAAAATAAATGAAAAACTAAAACACAGTGCTATGAAATAAAAAATAAATAAATTACTGAATAAACAAAAAGGAAAAGAAACCTGAAAATAGCAACCAATGCTAATGAAAAATAGTAAAAAGAAATAAATTACCAAACAAGAAAATAAAAAAGTACAAAGAAAAAAATCCAAAAGTAAAAACAAAATCAATGCTACTAAATAAAAGTAAAATGAAATAAAATAGAAAATGAAAAAAGAAATGTGAAGTAATAACTGAAAATAAAACCAAGAAACAAAACAGAAAACTGTCTACCTAAATGAAAAAGTAAAAAGATAAACTAAGTAGAAAACAAAAAAGAAATATAAAATAATAACCTAAAATGATAACAAACCCAAAACCCAAAGCTATCAATAAAAAAGAACAGTAAAAGGAAATACACAGATTAGAAAACAAAAAATGAAAAAGAAAATTAAAATAAAAATGAAAAATAAGCAAAAATATAAAACAAAACCAACACTAGGTAAATAAAACTAAGAAAAGTAAATAAATTCAAAACCAATAAAAGAAAAAATAAAATTAAAATGAAAGAAAAATGGAAAAATATAAGCAAAAATAGAAAACAAAAACAAAGACCAAAAACCAAAATCCCAAAATCCTCCAAACAAGCTTTGTAGTAGTCCAGCAGGTCACCAACCAAGAGCTTCCTGCGCTGTATGGACAAAAATCCAGCCCAGGCAAATTCCTTATATACCTGCTGGCTGGCAGTTGGCCTTACTAACAATGACCCCTCAGTGATGTCAGAGAACAACTGGACCAATCACAGCTGGGCACAAGCCACAGGTCTTGCCTCATTGGTCCAAAGACACTTACAACTCACAACTTAAAAAAAAAACTTCAAAGGATAACCTACTCCAACAGTTTCTTCCTTGGTGGGTCATGGAGACTGGTATTTACTCCAGAGAAGCTGAAGTCCCTGGATGCTTCAATGGCCCCTTCAGTTGGATTCTGAAAATCTGTCATAACTTTTGGCTTTTAAAGACCTCATCCTATCTGCACTCTAGGTATTCAATTCCTTTATCTTTAAACCTGGAGTGATTGATGTCAAACTAATCCTTTGGTAGCGGTTCTCAAACATGTACCACTGTCACAAAAAGAACTGTTCCCTAAAGCACCATGGAGCATTTTTAACATCAATTGTGGGGGGGTGGCGGAGGGGTGGGTAGACAGCCCCCTTCACCATAATTTCCCTCATCAGATTTCTTATCAGAAGCCTTGGAACCCAGAAGCCAGTGGGTGGGTATCTTCAAAGTGATGAAGGATAAAACCATCTGCCAAGAATTATAGCAGAGAAAGAGTGAGTCAGCCCATTTGTGCCACTGTTACAAAATGCCTTAGACAGAATTATCTGTAATTGACAGAAATTTATTTCTCACAGTTGTGCAGGTTGGCAAGTGCTTGATCAAGCCTCCAGGAGCTTCAGTGTCCCAGAGGGCTTGTTCTTGCTTTCTCCCTCTGTTTCCTTGTTACTGTTTCCTCACAAGGTGGAAGGGTAGAGACAGTCTTTGAAAGAAAACAATGTAGCAGACACACTTGCATCACCCATCCAGATGCAACAGATGAAATTTTATTTTATTTGCTTCCATCTCTTCTTGCTGATGCTGTTCTTCTTCTTGGGGGTGGGGGATGGGTTCCTGGAGGAAGAGGCTCAGTGTGGAGCCTCAGCTGACCTTAAACTCTCTCCTTTCTTATTTTGTTTCTGTGCTTGCTTTTGGTGCTACAGGAGTTTGAACTCAGAGCCTCACACTTGCTAGGCAGGCACTCCACCACTTGAGCCACTCCACCAGCCCGGACTTGAACACTTGATCTTCCTTCCTGAGCCTCAGAAGTCCTGGGATTACTGGATTACAGGTGCGCCAACTCCCCCACTTTCTTCTTTTCATTTAACTTTTTTTTGAGGGGGAATGGGGATAAAACACACACCTGCCTAAAGCCTTGGGTCCCATCTTCCCTCCTGGATATCATCATTTTTGGCTTTTTTTCTGTTTTGTTTTGTTCTGTGTTGACTTTGCAATGCTGGGGATTTAACCCAGGGTGCTTCCCACATGCTAGGCAAGTGCTCTACCACAGAGCTACACCCTCCTTGGATACAATTCTTAAGTCGTTCCTTCTTTCCCATGTGTTTATCGACCTTTCATCCAGTCAGCTCACTGAGTTCTTCTTAGGTGAGTGTACCTGCAGACACCCTTGAATTCCATGCAGAGTCGTGTGACCCTGCACATAAAAGGACAATTTCTCCTCCATTGTAGTTTTTATTCCTCTCATTTATTTGTCTCATCTTACCACAGTGTCCAAGACATCTAGTACAAGGTAGAATGTTACTGGCGATAGGAAGCAGAGTTCTCTCCTGTCTGATTTTAATAGAAATGCCTCAAATATTTCACTGGTAAGGATAAGGTTTGCTAAAGGTATTTGATAGATATCCTTGTCAGGTTCAGGAAGGTTCCTTCAATTCTGAGTTGGTCAAGAGTTTTTATAATGAGTGATAGTAAAATTTCATGATTTTCTAGCCAGGAGCTAGTGGCTCATGCCAGTAATCCTAACCACTTGGGAGGCTGAGGTCTGGAGGGCTGAGGTTCAAGCACATAGGCTCAGCACATAGTTTGTGAGACCACTCCATCTCAAAATAACCAGAGGAAAATGGACTGGAGGTATGGCTCAAGTGGTAATTTGCAAGTGTGAAGCCCTGAATTCAAATCCCAGTCCCACCAAAAAAAGAAAAAAAGTGTGGGGGGGTGGCTGGAAGTGTGGCTGAATTGGTAGAGTGCCTGCTTAGCAAGCACAAAGCCCAGAGTTCAAATCCCCACACACCAAAAAAAAAGGCAAGAAAAAAAATGTATCAAATGCTTTTTGGAGTTGTATCTAGTGAGATGTTGAGATGATTACATGGGTTTTCTTCCTTACCATTAGTTTGATCAATTACATTGGATTTTCTAAATTTAAGCTTCATAGGCCCAGGTTGTAGCTCACTGATAGAACACTTGCTTAGCATGTGTGAGGCCTTGGGTTTTATCTTCAGCATTAAAAAAAAGAAAATGAAAAAGGAAAGGAATAACTTTTAACTGTCCTTTTTATCTCTGATATTAAATAGATAGATAGATAGATTGCCAATATTTAAGACTCTTACCTTTTTTTCATTGCTAAGTTTGCTATAATTTCTCACATTGTATCCTATGCATTTGCCTATGAACATAACAGTGACCTCATAAGGTTAATTAGGAAGTGTTCCTTCCTTTTTCACTTTTCTGGAACAGTTTATACAAACCAGAGATAAATTGGACATGAAGGTGGAGGGAGGAGGATCAAAGATCAAGGACAGCCCAGGTAACTTAGCAAGACCCTATCTCAAAAAATAAGTGAATAAATAAAATGGCTTAGGGAGAGAGAGCTAGGGAAATAAATGTCCATTGAATAATATGGCAAAATCACCCATACAACTTTCTGGACCTGCTGATTTTCAATATTATTTTTTTTTGAGAAAGGATCTTCCTATGTTTTCATCTCAAAATTTTCCTGCTCAGCCTACTGAGAACTGAGATTACAGGTGTGTGCCACTACACCCAGCCTTGTTGCATGTTTTAAATAAACTTTCTGTTTTAGAATAATTTTAGATTTACAGAAAAGTTTCAAATATAATAAACAGTGTTCCCTGTACCTCTCATCTAGCTTTGCCTCATATTAATTTACAAATACATAAACCACAGTACATTTGTTAAAATCAGAAACTAACACTGGTACATTACTGACAACTAAATTCCAGTCTTTACTTGTATTTCACCCATTTTTCCACTAATATCCTATTTCTGTTCAGGCATGCAATGTGAAATAAGACATTTTACTAGTGAGGGTTGGTTTTTATGGTCACAGCACACTTGGCTGTTCTAGTAACAGCGCCCCTCCTCCATGAACCCCAATCTCTGTATCCTTACTTATTTGTCACCCCTCCCACATTGATCCAATGAGTTGTTTTGGTCAAGATCTGTTGTGATTTGGCCAATGAGACATTACAAAGGTGACAAAGCAGAGGTTTGAAAAGCACTTGTGCACTGGGCTTGCCCTGTTTTGCTGCTTACTGGGAAACCTTGTGCCACAGGAGAAGGCTGAGGTGACCTGACACAGATGTGACTCAGCTGACAGCCAGCTCCACGGCCAGACATGTGAGGGAGACCGTGCCATCAGATGGCTGTCGCTGCCCGAGGACTCAGGTGAGACCAGCAGAGCTGTCCAGGTGTGCCTGCCTGCGCTGCCAACCACAGAATCACAAGCACAAACAGGTGCTGTTTTCAGACACTGCATTTTGGGTGATTTGTTAGCGAAAATTGATACAGGGGACATAGAACTCTTCAGTTTGTAACTTCTCAAAGAGGCCTCAGACATTTACATGTTTTTAGAAACCTAGCCACTGTTTCAAAATTTCACATTTACTTGAAAAAGAGTTGCTTATGGTGATTCTCAGTTTTAAAGAATCTGTACAGTATCTCTTTATACAAATACTTTTAATTCTTAGTGGAATGTTCCTTTCTTTCTTTGTTGCCAGAGGCTTGTATTTTTTTTTTTTTTTTTGGTACTGATATTTGAACTCAGGGCCTTTCACTTGCTAGGGCAAGTGTTCCACTTGAGTAATGCATCAGTCCTTTTTTACTTTAGTTATTTTTTGAAAAGGGTCTTACATTTTTGCACAGGCTTTCCTATTTACGTCCCAGCTCCTGCCATCACATCTGCGTTCCAGGCAACAAGAAGAGGAAGAGGAGAAAGAGAAGGGAATTTCCTTT